CTTACAGTATATTGAGTCACCCATGACAAAAAGGAAACTTCCTCCATGATCTCATCTGGATAATTTGATCCCATTTCTAGCCCAGCCTTGTTTTACAATACTTTAAAAGCAGAGTCTTGAGCTGCAGGGTATTGGCAGTGTGTTCAGTCTGAAGCCCTTCATTTGATGTGTACACACACACACACACACACACACACACACACACACACACACACACACACACACACACACACACACACACACACACACAGCGTCAGCCTTATCGTGTTATTGTGTTCAAGGATATGGGAGCCTGGGATTGTTTGGACTAGTGTCTCGAGATTTCATAGCTTTGTCCAACTGCTGCACGGAAGTTATAGTGGTGGCACTGAACCTTCTGCAGGATCCTCTTATCTCGTTGTTGAGATTGTGTGTGTGTGTGGCTGTGTGTGTTTGCGTCAAAGTCTTGACTCAAGGTCTGCAGGTGTAAACTTCTCTCCTTTGACTTTTTTTTACTTGAAAAAGAAGAAAACCTTGTCCCTTTCAAGTTTGAATTTGTTGCATTTTCAACATAATTCTACATTGTTCAGGGAAATGCTTTGTTGCCCTCTCTCTGCTAAATAAATGATAAAAATATATTGTCTGAAAGATATTCTAAAATATACGTATATAAATATACAATATATACAACAATAAACTGTGAAAAAATTACAATAGATCCAGACTGGATTGCCTGGAAATAATTTCATTTTAAAGCTACTTTATGGAATTTTGAGAAAAATCGTTGTCAATGAAAATGGCGGCCGTTAAAGTTAGCTAGCACCATGTACTTTTAGCAAATGCTTGCACTACATCATTAATGATATATTCAGAACACTGTTATATGACATAAGTTAGTATCTATGATCATTTAGCCAACAGAGATTTACACTCAGATATTATTTTGCTAGTGATAATGTAAGGAAGCTAAAGTTAGCTAGCTGTAACTTAGTTATGCTGCAAGTTGCATATATAATCCATTCCCAGTTTGTCAATACAAAGTGATAAAACCTTTTTTATTTGAAATCGTTCTCTGCTTTAGATTGAATGTATTCAGGTTTGTAATAGCCATTTCTGTAGAAGGTGTTACCTTTATTTATTAGGAGGATTTCTCCGTTGTTTCAGAAGTACAAATGTAAGTAGTACGAGGTACAGTGATAGAGAGATCAAATGATCTTGGGTCTTGAGAAAACCCTTTCTACAACATGTACATTGAGCCGTCCTGGGTAGCGCACTCCATGTTGCTGTCTGACTTGTTCAGTCTGCCTTTCCTTCTCCCTCTTTAGCAAAGGTCAAAGGTCACATCACCAAAGCTGTGAAAGTGAACCCTGCTTTGTTCTCTCCTACAGTTTTGGAGTTGTCTAGCCCGAATCACATACATGCATGCACATAACCCACACATGCATATATCTTACAAACACTCACCCGCCTTCTACTTTCTCTTTCTCTTTCTCTTTTCTAATCTAGTCGTAGCACCAGTTGCTTCAACCTTTAGAGTTTCTGAATAGAGTTGACCTCCATGGCCCCAGTCTGATGCCTCAGCCCAGTTGATTTGTCACATCCTTTGGTTTTTAGTCCAACTAGAGGGGGCAAGGGTGAAACAGTACTAAAGTAACAGAGAACTCAAATGAGATGCTTAGGTGAAATACTTCTGGATTCCAGCACATGTAGTTTGACACTGTCTTGCAGTGAGTTGGATTAGAAAACTGACACCGCTCCTATATCTGTACACTTAATATGAGGCAAGCGCCAGTTAGCCTATAGCACAAAACTGGGATCATGGGGGAACGAGTTGCTGGCTTTGTCTCAACTGTAAGAAAATATACCAACCACCCTCCTAAAACTTTAAAATGTTGTTTTTACACTTACACTATTTGGATTTGTATTTAAAAATCAAGATACAACATGTTAAATAGTGAGATTGCCTTGAAGTTGATTTTGTACCGTTCTGTAGTACAGATTCAGTCTTTATGCCAAGCTTGCTTTAGCTTTATTTGTACATAAATTCATTTGCATATCATCCAATGCCGAAACAACTGTATTTCTGAATATATCAACGTCGTCCTCCAACTCTCCAAAGTGGTGCCTTGTTTAGACTATGAAATGATAGTGCAGAGAGAAAGTTGGGGTTAGTTTGTAGCTCCTCTTGCCAAGTGCCAGGACGGTGGTGTTATGTGCGGTGCATTGGTCGGGGGTGGTGCTGCACTGAAGCTCTGTGGCCTGGTTTACCCCAAAATCTCTCCAACCCATCCTATCCTCTTCTTATTTTTTCCAATCTCCTTGGTCCATCCTCCTCTTCTTTGAACTATCTCTCTCTTTCTCTGGCGTCCTCTCTGCCTCTCACCCTTCACTCTCCCTCAGTGTCCAGAAGAAAGGGGTGGTGCATTCCAAAAGCCTGGAGACCATTCCCCTCTTTCAGCCAGTGGCTCACAGAGTGACAGAGGAATTAGAATAAGAATAGCTGTCCATTCACCCCGGTGCCCCAGTGACGAGCCGGAGGGCGCGCGGGAGGGAGGGCGAGGCGGAGGGAGGAGAGCAATAAAAGGGGGGGTCCCTCGCACTGCATCCCCATTGGCCCGCGGCGTTCCCTCTGTTTTTACATCGCTGCCGTCAGTTGCGCTTTCAAGTTTGTTTTACACATTCTGGCGCACATACACACCACACATGTGCATGCACGCGTAAACATACACATCGGGGTTCAGGGCCTGCACACGTGCATGCTCCGATACGGGAATCTACACACTGCACACTGTCAGAGGAAAGTGGAGTGAGCAGTTGTGACCTGGCAGTGCAGAGGAGAGTGACCTGTGGATGAGTGAGTATAATAATAATAATAATAAATTATATTTCTATAGCGCTTTTCTTGAACCCAAAGACGCTACGAGCTGGAATCTGAATATTTCCTGCAGGCTTTTCTTAGTGTTTTACTTATTTGTATGGCTGAAACTCTATTTGTTTTCTTGTCCTTCTGTGGCTTCTGGTGGAGATTTTCAATTCAACTGTGACCTTGTGCTGCTGTCACAACCTCTGGCTAAACTCTAAGCTCTCTTAACTATGTAGCTGTTAATATGTAACAATGTTGTCAAAGTTTAACAGTGCAACAAGTGTTTCCTTCAAATTCAAGTAAATGACTTGTGACCAAACGTAAGCGTTCATTTGAGCAGAAGTTATATTTTGTAGTGGTATTAGTAGCTTCTAATGAACATGAATGCTCATTTCAATGTCTCATAACAGGTTTTAGATCTCATAAGTGTATTTCTTTATAATATTATTTTAAAAATCATTTACCATGTTTTTTTCCTCTCTAGGGCTCTTTAGTGGCAAACAGGCTTCTCCATTCTCTGCAGGTCATTCCACTCTGCACTATAGTGATATAAGACCCTAACTCATCTCAACTACTCTACTGCCAGCCCACAAGGGCATTAATGAATGAATACATGGACCCTTGCCCTATACCTCAAAAAACATCTGTATTTAAAACACAATGGTATATGGTCTTTACTCTAGACGACATTTTATCTTTGTGAGGAAAAATTTGCCTTTTTGTTGATTAAGTTAAATGATCAATTATAGTTAGTTATAGTTCCAATCATATGTTTTACATTTGGGTTGAAAACAGTTTTAGTTAGACCTCAACGCCAACTTTACACGGGGAAGCGGCAAAGTGCCATTTTTTTGCAGCCAGTGGGCGTTTCTTTTCAATTCTGTCATGAAGCTTGCCGCAAAAATATACTGCGAAATATTCATCGTCCCTTCTTGCTTCGTTTATGTCCATTTTGTTTAGTAAAGACAGAAAGCCATTTTAATATTTAATGTAGAGCAACGCCTCAAAGGACTCTGATTGGTTGCAGGAACTCTTGCGCTGCATTTGGCGCTAAATGATTATTTGGCCGCACTTTGCAGCAGATTTAAAATAGCTTTGCCCAGATTGTCCTCCACAGCTTTCTGTAGACATCTATTTCTCTCGGTGTGAATTCAGTGTACCAGCTCTCTGCCACCTGGGGAGCTTCATACTGTTTCCCCCTATTATCTTTTATAAGAAATGTGGTTACCATTCATTAAAGCTACAATCAACATACGAAGCCTAACCCAACAAGCAAGATAACCTAAAACAAAAAAACCTCGACCCAGCCTGCTCCCTTTTCTCACTTTGATTGGACAATAGGACTTTAATCGTGGAAAAACTTGGTGAAATCCATGTACTTAAATGTAGGATTCTGAAGCATTTTCATAATAAGCCATAGTCCCAAACTATAAAGAAAAACTCAATCATTTGAATTTGTCTGAGAAGTGATGTAGCATGCATCAGCTGCTATCACAATACGTTATATACAAGTTTATTTAGGCTTTATACATATGTTATGTGTTGTTATGGTTGCAGTCAATGGATCCTAATGGACTCATGTAAATGTGTTGAACTGAGTGTGGAGACGTTGTGGGGTCCCTCCTCAGTGCCTCTTCCTAACAGTGTGGGTGGGGGGCCACATGGACCTCTTATTGCCAAGCAAAGTGTGAAAAATGCTTTCCAACCGAGACCTACTTTAGATAGAACCTGGATTACTGAGGAAGGTTAAGCTGTTTGAAGAATTCTTTCAAACTGGAGGCTTATTTGAATTGCATAAGCATTCCTAGCTGTGAAGTCAGTCCTCCCATTTAGTGTGTCACTTCCTGTAAGCACTTGTATTTGTCTCAGAGGTCAGATTGGTTTAGTGTGTGACATGAACAATGTGTGTTCTCACCTGCCAATGAGTGTGCCCGCAAAACACACACATACACAGTGTTCTGTCCTATTCATTGAGCAGATGTCTGTGTTTGTGGAGCCTACGTATACAAGAGGCCTTGTCTCTCCTCGGCATCACAACATAATCAGGACTGTTCCACCTCTACCAGGACTACTAACCTACAGTGGCATTTCTGAAATTATTATTCTTTAAACATGCTTTTTGTTTTGGACTTTGTGAAACGAGGGTTTTTATAATGTGTTGTACTTTTGTAGACCAAATGATCAGTCGATTCATCTAGAGAATAATTGGCATTATAATTGATAGTGAAAATGTGTATTACAGCCAACAGTGCGAAACCCCAAAAATGATACTAGAAGTGATCATTTTGGCAAAACATTTCAGAATCAATATCAAAAACTATTCCTCTGGAAATAGAGACTGCCAAATGTGAGGACCTGGAGTGCATTTGAGGGTATTGTACTAAAGGAAGCTTCTTAAGACGTCTTATTGATTATATGTTCACAATCTCCAATAATGTGTGTTTTCTTTCTTACAGCCAGAGATACAGCCTGGTGTCCATGCGTCCAGCAATCATGATGCCTGCCATGGCCGTGTACCTGAGCCTCCTCACGCTGGGTGAGTACAAGATCAGTTTAGTCTCTGCCTGTTAAGAGTGCTTTAATATCTCATTTAGGCCAAGACTACCTGAAAAAGGACGTTTTGGTTGGGCGAAACTATCTGCTGATTGTGGTTTTCTCATATACTTAATTCATAGTATATTTGTAAGTTTTCCAATAAAATATAGTTGCACTTTATCTACCTGACTATCATTATTTACAAGGCCCAGTTACTGACTCTTACTGAAAAATGCTGATAATAAATGCCGGGAATTTAATTGTAGGCTCCAGACAAAATGATTCATAGCATCACACGACAAAAAGTGTTAAATGGTTGCCTGATCAAAGATAAAATAGATTTTATAAGGACAAAAAGAGAAATCGAATATAATTTATAATATTGAATTATAATAATTTATTAAAAAAATAAATAATAGGGAATATTACCCACCCCTAAAAAGTAATGTTTCTACATTTTCAAACCTTAACAGTACAACAGCTCCTGTAGAACAGAAATATTTGACGCAGCAGTATCGTTTTTTATTCAAACCCCCCCCCGTGTGTCATGCCAATTCCTCAGCAACAGTGGAGAATGTAAAACTTGTTTATTATTACTGAAGCCGGTGTGAATGCCTCAATCCCTGTCATATATCTGTTGTTGTTGTTGTTGTTGTTGTTGTTTTTGTAGACTAACAGCCAAAGGAAATCCTCACAGACTCATACTCTCCCCACACATTGTCATTAGGTCTAATCCATCATTATTTCATGCACGCTAATCACAGGATTGAGCAGTAACGCGCAGGTGTTTGTACTGGATTGTGTTTACTTCAGGGAACAGGAAGTGAAGGTTTTAAGAGAGAATGAAACTCTCCTTGCTAAAGTCGACGTCTCCTTTCAGTCCAGTCAAGATGACGGGGTGGTTGGGCTATAAATGATAATGATAATAATTATTTTACACATTAATGCAGGACACACTCCAGGTGAGCTCTGTGATACCAACACAATAAGCATCAAAAGGCCTGTAATGATATATATTATACAAAAGTATTTATTGTTGTGAGTGGTGCTAGTGGGAGCAAACCTCAGTAGGTCTACCTGTTTGTTTGCTAATTCTTACATTTGCAAATAAAAAAAGAGAAATAAAAAACGTTGTATTATTGCTAAGATGTTTTTATACTTTGCTGAGCAGAATTCTATAAAGGAAACATATTTAGGAAATTAAAAAAGATGACGTTCATAAAGCAAGGGAATTAGCATTTTCAACTGGCCATTTTCTCGAAATTCACAAAAAAAGTGCAATGTAATTCAGGGCTCGTCATTATAAATGGCCGGGTGTCCCGGAAGCACTCTTTAAACCAGGCATCCTCAAACTACGGACTCCCGTCCGGATCCGGACCAAACCACCACTGTCTCCGGACTCTGAGCAAATTATACTTTTCATATGTATTATCTCTCTGTATTATATGTGAGACATCGCCACAACGCATTCGCAACGAGTCAAAATTCTCCGCTATGTCCACTGCAAACAGCGCTCTGCATGTCTGACTGTTCCACTGTGTTCCACCTGTGTGTGTCAACGCTTTGGTCCAATCACATTCAGCATCCAGTCAGCGTTTTTTCCCCCCAAACAATCTGCGAATCAGAGGCACAGTAGGGCGGGTCTTCGCGGAATGCGAGTGGGAAAAATGTGTGTGTCTCTTTCAACCTGTCTAAGTCAGAGCGAGAATTAAAAAAAAAAAAGATTCAGAGCGAGAGTTAACAGCTCATCTAGTTCCATCTGTACTGTAGCTAGCCTAGTTTCACCTACCGGGGTGGCAACTGACACCCTAAAAATAGGCCTTGCCACCCCAGCTGCCACCCCAGTTGGCAGCTTTGTTTTGAAAGAAAAGTTGTGGCTCATCGGACATTTATGAGAGAAAGTCTCTAATGTCCGAGTGCAAGTGAATGCAGCACAAGATGCACGTCATGTAACCCCTCCCCCGGTCCTGGCGCGAGCGTGGACATACGATTGGCGGCGATTTCATTTTGAACTGGACGGCGCAAAACGAGAAGCATTCGGACCCAAGCACTGAAGGAATGAGGTATTTGGGGTCTACACTGACAGAGAAGAGACTGTCAGTGTGGCTGTACTCAGCATTGAATCAAAACGCACTACAGCTGTTGATCTTAATACGTTTGTGAGGCGTTTTGCTGAACAAGATGGTAATCGCCGCATTCAGCTGTAATAGACATGTCAACTTGATGCTCTGCTCACGGATGAGCATACACAACTATTAAGATGATGACCTTACGTGTGTAAATATATTTTTTTCTTTGAGGGGGTCTGCCCCCAAAAAACTGTTTTAAGTCCTGAGAAAGTCAAATAAGACGGTGTGTAAAACTACACTGCCCAGCCAAAAAAAAGTAACCACTTTGATTGAACTAGGCCAGTAGGTAAGGACTTTCCACTGGATAATAACTGCAGTATAAAATAATGCATGACTGAAGTGATGGAGACCATGTTGAAGGCAAACAAAAAGAGGAAATAACAGGTAAAATCAAGCAAATCCCCCTCTCAGATTCCACAGCAACCAGAAGAACAGAAATACTGGCTGGTGATTTGATTCATCAGCTTTGTGATGGAATAAAAAATGCACAGTGCATTTCCTTAGCTGTGGATGAGTCCACTGACACCACTGACAATGCTCAGTTGCTGGTGTTTGTGAGTTTTTATGATGAGGCAAAGGGGGAGTTTGTTGAAGATGTGTTGGGCCTGACGATCCTCAGTGGACACACAAGGGGGAATACATTTATAAAGCAATAATGGGAATGCTGAATGAAAGAGGGTGCAGCTGCCTTTATTCATAACTGTGCAGCTCTTACACTGTGACTGAGGGGTCAAGCACAGACACAATAACAATGAAAATTGCTGCATACAGATTATTTTTGTTTTTGCAACCTCGTGTTAAGAATCTTGTTGCAATAGTTTAAAAGTTTGAATGACCGTGATAAACGGACCTTTGTCTTATTGAAACATTTATTTTGGACCTTTAAGATTTGTATTTGAGTACCCCTGCTTTAAACCCTCCGGGCCAACTGAACGCACTTTCCACTTGCCCGCTTGGGTTCAGTAAAAAATATTGCTTATTTTCCTGTGGTACTAGTATTTTGTCAGGGAGTTTTGTGAAATTGTTTCATTAATTACCGCTACAACATAACGTTTTGTGAGGCGGATGTCATAATTGGATGAAATACAACCGGTAACCTGCCAAACGCCGGCCAAAAAAAGAATGCTCCTGGGCCAGTGTAATTGGATGTAAACTTGGCCAACTTTCTCTTTCCCTTTAAGGTCACCGTGGTTCATTCCACTGAGGTGTGAGCGGAAACCACACCGTTTCAAGGCTTTAAGGATGAGTTTAATGACATTCTAAATAATTATTCCTCAATTCTGCCAACAAATCCAGTTGTTGAAAAATATTTCATAAATATATACTGGTATACTTGTTTTTACAAGGCTAAAAACGATCCTTAAACAGGTTGACTCATTTTTAACATACTGATGGATATACAGTAGTGCATTTGTTGGGAAATATTTTCTAGGGAAGACTTAGTGCACAAGTGGGTATTTGAGGCAATGTATTTAGGGTTGGGTCAAAATATAATACAGTATGTAGGAACACGTCAGACAGTAGAAGATTCTGAATTATTGATGTGTTTTAATAGTTTTTCGACAGGCACATAGGACACATATATATTTTGTGCATAACAGTGTGGAGATTTGTTGCAAACTGTATCAGTTTTAGCAGCAGGTCAGCTCTGTCCCTCTCACCATTTATAAGCTCTGTGGTCATGCAAACCCGGCTTTATTAGGTCAGCTTGTAGGATTTGGAAACTGTGAGAATCTGGGGTATTCGTGGAATGTGTAATAAATGATGGGCTACTGACAGCAGCACTGGATCCGAGGCAGAATGGGCCCTCACAGGGTTAATTGGTGACTGAGGGGCAACACACACTCACACAAAGTGCCCAGCCACTGTTAAATGTGCTTTGTTTAACTGTATTTGTGCGTTTCAGTGTTTTTTTTTCTCAGGAGACTTAACGGTGATTCTAAAAAGTTAAGTTATTTTCTTAAACTTTGGCCACACACACACTTAGAAATGGAGACTGATTAAGGATTTTGCCTTTCCTAACTTGCTGGCACCAGTGGCGGATTTAGGATTGTAGGAGAGATCCGGGGCTCAGCCCAGGAGTTGTTGGGGGGGGGGGATTTTTAAAAAAATATTTAAGTTAAAAGCATCAATCTGGTGCACTTTGAGAGCAACATTAACCCTACCTTAATAATACCTTAAAGCGGACAAAAGGCACTGGAGAACACTTATTCATTAACACCCTTTAATGAAGCAAACTAATGCCTTAACCCACTCAAATACAGTCGTTTACTTATTTCGGTGAAACGAATGTGCGTAGAGTTTTAAAGGATGCGGATAGTCTCACCTTGATTCTGGCGCATTGCTTATCGTTTTATAGATCTATTCTCATCCACCATCTTTGTTTGTGACGTAAAGAGTGAGTCACGTTTCTGAATCGGACACTCTGAGTGGATGCAGTCACAGCCAATCGGAGTCTGATTCAGAGGGTTGCCTGTCAGTTCCGTTGCTATGGTTCCGTTATTATGTGTACTGAATTGAGAGCCGGTATAATTCCACGCACGAAAACAAAATACAAATTGGAATACGTTATTTTAGTGTCTTAAAAGTAGACTGAGGTATGAAGGGTTAATGTTACATCTTAGGATAATTTTCATGTTCTGTATACATACTAACATATAAGGGTATACTTAGTGTGGTTACTCCATGTTTACTAGCTATAACATTAACGTTACATCACTCTTTTTCACTTCTTACTCAGTCAGCCAGAGTGCAGATATCACCATTAGATTAACAAAGCTGAAACATCATCCATTTCTCCACTGCTGGTGATGACATTGTTGTCAGCTGCTGATACTGCTGCTGCTGCAGCTTGTGGCTTTCTAATATCCAG